ATACTAGAATGACGTGTTTGGGGAGAGGCACGTGACTGCGATGCCTAAAAGTTTTATGAAGCACAGCTGCGCTCGTCCACTACCGTATTTCTTACTTATATCTTTTTGGTGTCAGTTTATCGTATCTCGCTTTTTCTTTCGCTTCCACCCTCTTAATCATTAAACGAAACCATTTTGTAGCAGTAAGCTGGTTGGAGAAGTGCAGAAAAATGGAAGACGCCGAGTTAATAATGTTAACAAACAAGATTAGAGCGTCGGTAAGACATCAAAGTTTTAGTTATGCATAAGGGCTGATCGATCGCTCTGGATTTGAGATAATATTCGTCGCTAGTGGAACACGGAATGAAAAGAAGGGCGAGAGATAGGCCGTTCCCTAAGTGGCTATAAATCTGCTTACATCTTCTCAATTTTTTCAAGAATGCGGAATTGGGGTTAGCAAAAAAAAAAGTTATCTCGCCTTTCCTACTTAAACCATATTCTTTATTAGTTACCGCGGTATCGAAAAGCCTTTTCGGTCCGCCGATGGCTTAACGAAATAAAGATTGGGAAATGGAAGCTTAAACACTTTGTTGTACGGGATTTCGACGGCGGCGTTCGTAATAAAAATTATTGTTCGGCATCGGGAACTATTAAGGATGGCTATCAAAAGAGGTATTAAAAGCAAAAGTGTGGTCGTATTTCACGAGGGCGTTGTCTTTTATTGCCACGGGCTCTGAATGCTGATAATACCACGAAATTGTAGTACGGATCAGAATGCATTATGAAAATTCAATTAGGGCTACTGGGAAGTTTTAATTACATTTTTTGTGCGTTCTACATGATTTGATTTAAGAAGTTACTTAACTGCCTTTTGATTTTTAAGTAGATCCAATTAAATTCACTTACAATTATGCTTAATTTGCATTCATTCGGATGAGATCTCAGCACATTTAGGGCCTAGGTAAAGAACTTTGTGACTGATCAGCAAAGCATAGAATTAATGCATTAGACAGTCAGTGAGTTGGTAAAATAGTTAACGATTACATAAGGGGAGCATTGGCTACCAAGTTATAGCACCGTCATATTTTAATGCGCGCACATTCGTCTGTCTGCCGATCAACCACTTGACGGGAAAATATTCGAAAGTGAAATTTGCTACAGGGAACTCTAAAAGTGAGGACAACTGCTTTTCAGTATTAATGTGTGTTCGCCTCTCCGCTGATTACCAATCCGACTTTCTTGACGGAGTTTTTACCAAGGGCCATGTAATGAAAATTGCTAATTAAGCACGGCGTGAAATGAAAGTGCAAAATTTTATCGTACATGAGATTGATTTAGGGCAGAAACGAAAGAAGCAAATCAAAGATTAAAGATTTTCATTATTGTTAATAAGGCATCTTGTAGGCGTCAATTAATCTAGTGAAAATAGGAAGGGGTTAGTCTTTAAAGTTTTGAATTCATTCGTTTCAGGGCTGTGGAAACATTAACCGTGCAGTTCAAAGTAAAATTTTAATTCTGGTCAGTACACCAAATGGCACAATTAAAAATTGTCTCCGCAAGTGAAGAACGTAGGTACCTATTACACAAATAGTCAAGTTATGTTACTCCAAAGTCTTATTAAATTCACTGTACACTTGAAATTCCCCCAATCAAGAATGATCGATTAGCAATCTAATTACTGAGTCATAAAACAACTTTCCACAAATTCATTTGAGATTCCGGACAAAAATTCGCACGTTGGGCCAAGTACAAGTAAAACATATAAGGCAGCTCTTACTTTGGAATAAAGCTGGACGTTGACGCCAAGAAGTAAGCTCAGTTTTGACATCCAAAATCCAAAAGACACCTCCCAATCCGCAAGTGGTGATGACGATGGCAATTAAAATTCCATGCGTTTTACCTCACTCTTCAGCTGTTTGTTTAAATGAAGTGTAATTCAATACGGTTTACCCACAGAAAGAGGAAGATGAGGGTTGACAATCAAAAATAACGGTGCGGGCAATCTGCACTGTTAATATTGCGTTGTTAAATTCCATAGATGGAGCCATCCATCAAAAACTTCAAAACGTTACGGGGATGTTTCAACAAGTAATAAACCGTAAACAATAATAATGCTTCGTAATCAAGAAAATAAATCGTTACATCGGCATGAGAGACTAGCAAATTGCCGCGTTAAGGTGATCCTTTCTAAACGGGTTGGTGGAAGCAAAAATGCGGTTTTCCCATAGTTACCAGAATACTGCAGGAGGGCGCTCGCTCCAAGGATTTTGAATATAACCAGCCCTATTTAAGGGCTGGACATACGGATATTAAAAGGCCTACAAATTGAGATAGAGTTCGGATTTAACATTTGTTTAGATAAAACCCAGTATGCGATTTTTACCCATTTATCATGTGGTAGCTCTAGGGACACACCAATGGAGTTAAAAATAAATCCGAGAAACTTACAACGTGTCGAAGGAGTCAACACGATTTTTTCAACGTTTATTAAGAACCCTAAAGATTTAAGAAGAGCGACAGCAAGCTTTACAGCTTGTCTACGTTCCATCTCAGACGTGCCCAGTAAGAGGAAGTCGTGTTACTTGAACGGAGAGTACAAACCAAAGTTTCAATAATTTTGTGAATGTACAACGCGCCAATTTGAGACCGAAGGGCATGCATTGAAATTCATAAAGCTGACCCAGAAACTGCAATCACCAGAATTTGGAATGTACAGGAACAACGTGAACTAAAAAGGATGTATCAATCAGATCGGGGGTTGCAAATGTTTAATTTCTTCTGCCAATTTCCGGAAATAAAAAGGTGGAAGGTGGCGTACTGTCCACGCGAAGTAAAACAATTGTAAACGGCCAGCATAAAGACCACTTATCGTCGTTATTTCCGCCTGCAGCGTCTGTGGTAGGGCTCGTAGTTGTCAACCCCCATCCTTTCCTGGAAAGAGAAACGATTGCGGAGAGAAAAGGTGCCTTTGGTTCCTTGCTGGTTAATTCTAAGGTCTAAGGTAACTTTATTTTCTTTCCCAGGTTAGGACCAAACAGGTGTTCCGTTGGGGAGTAGTGAAGCCCCTTTTCCAGGACACACAGTCCTTTGCCCAAAAGGAATTGAACTTCTGCGTGCGAAAAATTCTTTTTGCAGCATGTTCCAGAGCACAATGGCCGCAGACAGTCGCAATTATTGTATTCTTTCCTTTTGTGCGCGTTAATGAGACAGTACTTACGTACTACCTACTTATATGCAATTAAGTATTAAGTATCGTGAAATACGCACGTCTCAGTACAAATGATTAAAACAATCGTATTTCAGTCAAGGACAAATTCATGAACCGCGCTAGAATATTTTTTTCCGTTGCAATGAACCACCAGAAAAATTCCGCATGAGTTACTTAACGTCGTTAGTGAACAAAAGGGGATTGAACTTTGTTTGGAAAATTCGTAACCATTAAAAGGTTGTAGCCCTTCGCAGTTGAATATAACGTGTAAAATTCGCCACCTGCTGAAAAAAGGTTTTTCCTCTAGCGTGAATAATCTAAAAGAATTATTACTAAATGTTAAAAATAATAACGCTTATTTAGAATCCAAGCACAGAAGTTAATCTTTCCAAGAAAATACGCCAGAAGAACTTTTGCTTGACTGGACACTTTACCGAGAGACGTTTCCTGATGGGAGAATTCAAATTTGCAATTTGATGAACCCATTGGCATTGGAATTGATGGAATATTTTCATTTCAAGTTGAGTCGTTCAGATTTCAATAAAGAGAACCTCCAATTTAATGAGTCCATTATGATTGGAACGAATGAAAGTTGAAATGTTATTTAAAAAAAGGGAGGTTAACCCCTCAGTTAACCCCCTTTATATGCAAACTCGTTGAAACTCTCAGATGACTTTTAGTTTGATTACTGCACTCTTCTAAACCTTGGGATTCCCTAGGGGCATCCATCCTTCTTTATTCCTATAATCCAAATGATTTACGGATAATTTTCTTCTTGAAGAAGAGCACGTTTATTTTGTATAGAATCCATATCAGAGTAATTTGGGGAACTCATAAGGTTAATGATTTGAAACCTTTCACTTCTGTTGGACTTCTTGTAAAAATCCAACTTCCCTTCGAATATTACTTGGTCCAAATGTGATCCTTGATCTCTGTCATCTGGACGATATCCGTCATTACTATCGCATTTTGGTACATTTCTATGAACTGCCTTTCCTAAATCCAACAATTCTATCAGTGGTACATTGGATATGGTTTCGTGGTTATTAATGTACCTTTACCGAGCATATTTCACCTACATATTGACATTCATTTAACAATTTTCGGGTTTTTTAAAATTTGCTTTATCCGAACTTTGTTATTTTACTCGGCAGGCTTATCATATCTACTCCCGTGAGATAAGAACTTCTTATCTCACTCATTTTACGTGAGATAAAGAGTTCATTAACGCACGCATTTTTCTTATAATCTTTGTTTATGCTTATGATAAATATTGTTGTTGCTATTGTAATGTAGCATCTAATTGAATGGGGTAACTGTTGGTCAGAACTCATTATACGATGCGACAAACCTACTGTAAACTCATCTTTCTTTAGAGACGTCCCTCTGGTCTGCACAATTCACTCACCCCCTACACATGGGAGACACTCACAACCCAGGGCTATTATACGCCAAACTCACCCTACGCCATCCCTTACGATCGTGACCAGAGCGCGTACGTAACTGAACTGCCTTAACTTGCCACATTTATTTACCAAATAGGGGTTGGGTACCGTTGACTAGTCTTCAATTTTCATCTGAAGCCTAGCCAACGGCGTTATAGCTCTTAGCGGTGAGTGAAAATCCTTCACTCAACGCTCTTAGAAGCTCGAAACCTCTGCATATAAACGCTCTTTCCTGCTTCGCGGTCAATAATATGGCAAAAAAATAAGTTTTAAAGGTAAAATTTGAGATAGCAGTAATCGCTCCGTTAAAAAAGAAAGATTGTGGCTGCACAATCATTTCAGTGGACATTACTCTCCACATTCCCAAGATGACGTTAGGACTAATCGATCATATTATTTTTCACGGCTCGATCGCCGTTAGTTTGTGCATCGGGGTGTATTTCGGCTTTTGGAATAAATCGCAAACTGCCGATGAGTACCTCTTGGGGAATCGAGAGATGAAGATACTTCCGGTAGCGCTCTCGTTGGTGGCCAGGTGAAACTATACCCTGTTATTTCCTTCTAAACCCCATTAAATTTTAGTCTCTGTAGCGGAGTAACGCTGCTAGGACACAGTGCGGATGTTTACCTGTACGGTGCGAACATTGTTTGGAACTGCCTGTCGTGTTTTGTGGCAAGCGTTATTGGATTTTACTTTTACGTGCCAGTAGTGATGAAGCTAAAGACTCCAAATGTCTTTGAGTACTTTGGAGTTGAGGTTTGATAGGAGAATTAAAGTAATGGCCTCTTGTGTGTACACAATGAGCGCTTTGCTCTTCGCTCCGGTGGTGGCGTACGTTCCAGCAATAACACTTGCGCAAGGTACACTGCGCCCTCAAGGTTGTAATAATTTCCGTTTCACTTTAGCTACTGGCATTAATCCACAAGCCATATCCTCAATCCTGTGCACAGTCTGCGTGCTCTACTCCACCATTGGAGGATTTAAAGGAGTAGTATGGACGGACGTATTTCAGTTTTTTGGAATAATTGCGAGTGTTACTCTTGTAGTCGTGTTGGGAATAATTTCAGAGGATGGTACTAAAACAATCATGGAAAGAGCCATACGTGGCCACCGCTTGGATTTTAAGTATGATCTCAACAAGCTGCAGCTTTCTCATTTCCACAGTTTCAGCATTGATCCCTCGATACGTGACGGATTTTGGCAAATGATAATTGGCAGCACGACCACTCTTATTTACATGGTAAATATTCAACCGGGAATTGTGCAAAGATATTTATCAGTCGCTACGCTTACGAATGTTAAAAAGTAAATCGAGTAACGTTTCCTAATACAATATCTATCCATGGCACACTGTAGAGTAATGGCTTTCCAATTTTGCGGAGTATCAACCATAGCAATATTGTGCTCTTTCATTGGGATTATCATGTATGCAAGGTATAGTTCCTGCGATCCAATCACGACCGGTGATGTGAGGCGATCTGACCAACTCCTACCCCACTTCGTAATGGAAATTGGTCACAATATTCCAGGATTGCAAGGCATTTTTATTTCCGGAATATTCAGTGCGGCTCTAAGGTAACTAATCACCTACGAAATCGTTAACGATAATGTTTTTGTAGCACACTCTCATCGACTTTCAACACATTAGCCGCGACCGTATATGGAGACCTTATTTCATCGTTGTTCTCCAAAGAGACCTTGCGAGACAAGGAGGGTTGGATTTTGAAACTAATAGTTGTGATATCGGGCAGTGTTTGTACAGCGCTGACTTTCTTCGTTGAACACATGGGGGGTGTGTTGCCCTTTGTAAATGCAATCTTAGGTTCAGTAAATGGAATACTCGTCGGCGTATTCTCCCTTGGAATTCTTTTTCCATCGGCTAATTCAACGGTAAACTTCATGATCAAATTCTTAGTTGTAGATTTCCTTATAGGGCGCAATGTTTGGCGCTGTTTCCAGTTTCTTCGCAATTGGAATAGTTGCAGTAATAAACCATTGGTATGTGTTGCAAGGGGCGAACGAGATCTTCGCCAAACCCATCTCCGTGGAAGGTTGCGTTTTTCCTATGAACCACACGATCAGCAGGTAGGGTCAGGTATCTCAAATTAAACGTACACAATTACCTTTTAGGTCGCAGTTTGGGCACGAACCACCTGTAATTTTCCGGATTTCTGCCTGGTATAACTCATTTATGAGTTGTGTAATGGTAACCATTGTTGGTATCTTAGTTAGTTGTTTTGTTAAACGAATACCAGTTGATTCCGACCTTCTTGCCCCTATTTACCGCAGCAGGAATCACAAGAATGTTACGTTTCTACAGAATTGCAAAAACGGAGTGCAAGCCCACAGTACCGATTTACAACAGGCCGTTTAGCTATTACCTTCGCGTTTGCTTAAACTCACATTTTTGTGGTTCTTCATACTCATAGTAATAGTTTATTGAACCAGAAAAGGCGAAGAGAGACATTTGTGTCCTGTGCTTTATTATAATATCACCCCAACTCAAACGTTATAAACAAAACACCATTTTATAAGGTGTATGCAATGAAACTTGATATTTGTCGGTAAAATCAACAACATTTAAATTTCCATGGTTAGCAACTATGTCCAAAATTACTAATAAAGCAAATTTTATCTATTTTCCCAACTTTATTACGTGTTAAAAGACTAAATAAGGCACATCGGGAAATATTTGCGTAGTATTTGTGGAAATTTGTCTCGGTCCGTAGATAAGAAGTTTTGTTATCGCGGCGTACGTTTGCTGGACGTTGAAACACCGCTGTACTTGTACTTATTTGAAAAGACAGTCAGTCTTGTTTAATTGTAAAGTTTTGCGGAAGAAAGTTAAGTTAGTTGTTCTGGATTACGATAGGGGGGTGTATTAGGTCCACATGTACTTAGGCATCGCATTCGGGCTCTGTGTACCATCTACCTTACTAGAGTCGTCCGACTCCGCGACGTCACTCAAGCCCTGCTACACGTGAGATGAACCTAAAGGATGCGGAAAGCGGCTCTTATCGTAGCCGTGCCTGTCTTGTCGCCTATGTAACATACATTTTTACAAGACGGCGATTCTACCAAACTCATGTGGTGCCCATAAGTAACCTCAGGTTCTGTCTTAGTAGCCGGGTCTGAGCTATACATCATCTGTCGTGAGGCCAGTTGGGCTAATTCATCGACTTTCTCATTGCCTTTTGTTCCAGCATGCCCTTTAATCCACACAAGCTCAGGGGTATAGCTGTTGCCAATTTATCTAGTACATAGTGGCATTGGGAAACCAACCTAAAGGATATTTTACAGTGACCAAGTGCCTTTGGGATATCCTTGCTGTCACTGGAGATCTGATAATTTTGTTCTTTTTATTTTGGATAAGCACTTTTCTTGCACTACCAATTATGCCTGGAATACAGTAGAGGGTTTGCTTAGTGGTTGAGTAATGTGGAGGTTCAGTGCTTTGGAATAAATTCCAGTGCCTATTTCTTCCATTGTTCTAGATCCATCTGTGAAGATTAATATATATGGAAACCAACTACCCTCCATCAAAAAGATACTATTCAACAACCCCTTAGTTTTAAGACGTAGGGATGACTGTATAGGCCATACAGGCTTTGTCACGTAGAGCTCTGGTGGAGGCAGTTCCAGAAGCGCTAGTCTTTGTACATGACTAAAAAGTGCTTTGGTTGACGAGAGTCTGGTTCTAGCCACCAGACATTGCTCCATAACCGAATATGGGCCTAATCACTGCAATGTACAGCCACAGGACAGCCTTCGGGAATGCTTGCCATAGTCTGCCAATTGTGTGGTGACATTTCCAGTGAGCTCTATTTGCTTTTTCCGCCTTAAGCTATGTTTGTAGTAGTTTGTTCTCTGAGGACATGCCTGTTCCAATGACTCCACAATGGAGTTAGAGAGAAGAACTACTTCGCCCTAAAAATCGAGAGGGCTCCAGACATGTCCCCCAAGAGGGTGCTCTCTAGGTTTTTCTCCAAAGAAATGTTTATGAAGTAGCATATCCGTTACCTTGTGGTTGCGATACCCTCTTTGGACGACTCCCTTGCAGTCAATTCCAAATGAAGTCGCTTCTGGAGTATCTGACTTGCCAGCTATCGTTATATGGTCAGAGATTTATTTAATACGTCCTACAGGGCAATAATTAATCGAAGTAAAGAAGTCAGTTTAGTTCCGCAGTAGGGAAATGTAAAACAAATTTACCCTTATAACTTCTATAGTGAACAGAAACCTCTCTCGTGCATGAGGAGTTGATTACTTGACATACTATAATTGTATTACTTGCAAGTTCCTAATCCCATTGTTTCTACGTACTTACTATTACTATTATGCACAATTGCAGTTTAGTTCTCTAGTTAATTCTTTGTACATTACCTAATTTTCCCGATTACAAACTAGCTTCCAGATTCCACGGCTTCTCTGTTTAAAATGAACAATGGTAAACACTTAGGGTTTAACAGCTAGCAGAAGCACAAATTAATTTTCTTTAAACTTTTTACCGGTTGCCGTTTAATGTAAATCTAATAACACTATAATACACAAGAGTGGTGCACAGTGTTAATTAACAAACTTGTTTTTTAATCGTCTAACCGCTACGCGCAATGAACGTTCTGCACCTTGGACCACAACGCTTTCCTGGTAACAATTTACATAATAATTTATAATTTATAACGCAATAACGCGCGAATATTCATGTCCGTATTAAGAAATGCCGGCGAATTTGTAAATTTTAAAACCTTGGAAGCGACCACCTGCTTATACTACTTCCTGAGCTAAGTATAGTACTACTTAGTAATGATTATTTTGTAACCCGGTACTTGACACAATAATTCTGATGTACCTTTAATCAGTTTATTGGAACCTTTGGAAGTATGGTGCATTATGCAGTTCTAATTTAGTTTGAGCGATAGAAAGGGGTGCCCTAAATGACACCAGGAAAAGCTCCAAAGGTTCCATTGTATAACTACAACAGAATAAATTTTTCACACGTGAGCACGCGGAGAAAACAAGAGGGCTTCCTACACGAATATACTGTAATAAATTTATTATGTATTTCAGTTCGGCTTTGTGCGAATCTGAGCTTTTTTCACAAGCGTTGCAAAAAGAAAACTCCGTGACATGAACAGAGTACTCACGAACTGCTAAAATATTTAAAAATGGAAGTAAGTTTACGGAGAATTCGAGCAAACGAGGAACCACAGCGCCCCTGTCCTTTGATCTCGCTATTCAAAAAACACACTCACACACAAATGCAAAAAGGGCGAGTTTCACATTCTGTGGTATTTTAATTTTCTGCATTCCTCTCCTGAACTGACGCGTATATGCCTACGTTTGTCTTCAATTTTATTTGAAAGTCGAAAACAAATAAAATATCATCTACTCCGATACGAGACGGTAAGTCGTTCGAGAATCACAGTCCCGTGAATTAAAAGTGGGATTTTGAAAGAGCGACTAGGTAAAATTGTACTTGGTGTCCGTAATCCTCAGGAAATAACCTTTTGGGATTTATCCGGAGACCTAATTTTGCAATCGGTTTCTTTGCTCTTCCAATCGATTTAGCCAAATCTAAACTAATAGCACGAATTTGCGGGAAGCGATTTAAGAAATGCAGTCGAAAGCTCAACGGTAACTCTTCGGCTTACATTGTGAAGTTGGATTATTACGCGAGTTCCTTTTACGTATCCATTTTGTTAATGATTAACTTCGAATCCCCTCTTGTTTTCCTGCATGCTCTGGTCGCTTTCCTCAGACGCTCGTTAAAAATTCATTCAGATGATGCGGATTTATTAAATACTAAAAGCGTGCGCGCTTTCGTTACCTATATGCTACGGATTAAAAACAATTTACATAAAATGTCGCCCTCAAGCGTACCAAAAATGGGAAAGCCGTTTATTTGTATCCTTCGAGCTTTCTCTTGTAAATAGTGGCGTTTAATGGAATACCAAATGTGATTTGGCTTAAGATTTAGTATCGGAGCATAGTGAACTACTCTCTAAGTCTAAAAGGTTATTGTCGAGAAAATGTTAGGCTTCCCCCTTTGATCTGCATTCACGCTTGTGTCACATTACGGGTATTTTATTCGAAATCGTTTTCGTCGCTTAAAATGCAAATTGCAAAGAATTTATTCGTCTTATTTATATATTACTATAGGTAATTTAAGTCTGCATAAACGCATTGATGCCTTGTAGGCAAAAATTTGGGAGAGCTTTTCTGTTGCTCATTATCAAGTTACGTATTTTTTTTAGGATTTAGTGCATTTAAAGTTACTTTAAAGAGAAATCCAAAACAGGAATTCATACATTCAGGACTCGTAATGATCTAGAATGGAACTTACTGATTACGTAGTTCATCTTTCTGTCATAAAGCTTCAACCAATCATGCAACTTCAAATACAACTTGTATAGTGTCATAGAGTTGAGGGGGAGGAACCCCACAATACCTTCATATTACGGGTCTAACCCAGCGTCTGATATGCAACGAAACCGCAGTCAAGAGAACCTATATACCTCCAATCCGCCGACCTTAATTAGCATTGTAGCAATATCCTATCGGAAGGCTTGCCTTGTACTAATATTCTGGACCCCTTGACTCTTTTGTGTAAGACAGGGTGAGTTTTTTCCGAAGTTTAGTATGGGAATCTCTTAAACTGAAAGAGATATAAGGCCGGTTAAATTAGCAAAGAATTACGGAATTGTATGTAGATTAAGTTTTTCTTTCAGAGTTTCTTGTAGCTCTACAAGCAACGAAGTTGTGGTAAAAAAACCGAAAAATGTCATTTTCAAAAATGATTGGGCGTTCATTTATTTTCAAAAATACTAGGCTTTGTTAAAACTATTGTTTTGATATCTTTGAAAATAAATAAGCTTCAGCGCATTTTCTTAAATAACATTTTTCGATTTTTTGACCATACCCTATCTATATAGTTAGAAGAACCTCTGAAAGGGAAACTTAATTTATACAATTCTGCAATTCTTTGTCCATTTAAGAGACATTTTATCTATTAGGGTTTAGGAGATCCCTACACTAAACTTTGGAAAAACTCACCCTGTATATGCAATAGCAATAGTAACGCTGAGTTACCAGTTGATTTTTACAGTGTTGGCAGAGCTGGGCAGAATACTTTCAAAAAGTATTTGAATACTAAATAGTA